TCTTTCAGTTTTGACAATAGGGTGTCAATTTTTGATCTCTCCATGTTTCTCATGTGGGCACATATTGCTATATATTTTCCTCTAGAGACTGCTTTAAATGTGTCCCAGAGATTCTGGTATGTTGTGTCTTCATTCTCTTTGTTTTTGAAGAACATCTTTATTTCTGTCTTCATTTCATTGTTTATCCAGTCAACATTCAAGAGCAAGTTGTTCAGTTTCCATGACGCTGTGCAGTTCTGGGTTAGTTTTTGAATCCTGAGTTCTAACTTAATTGCACTGTGGTCTGAGAGACTGTTTGTTATGATTTCCGTTCTTTTGCATTTGCTGAGGAGTGATTTACTCCCAATTATGTGGTCAATTTTAGAGTAGGTGTGATGTGGTGCTGAGAAGAATGTATATTCTGTGGATTTGGGGTGGAGAGTTCTGTAAATGTCTATTAGGTTTGCTTGGTCCAGGTCTGAGTTCAAGTCTTGGATATCCTTGTTAATTTTCTGTCTGGTTGATCTGTCTAATGTTGACAATGGGGTGTTAAAGTCTCCCACTGTTATTGTGTGGGAGTCTGTCTCTTTGTAAGTCATTAAGAACTTGCCTTATGTATCTGGGTGCTCCTGTATTGGGTGCGTATATATTTAGGATCATTAGCTCTTCTTTTTGCATTGATCCTTTTACCATTATGTAATGTCCCTCTTTGTCTCTTATGATCTTTTTTGCTTTAAAGTCTAATTTATCAGAGATGAGAATTGCAACTCCTGCTTTTTTTGGTTCTCCATTTGCTTGGTAAATCTTCCCCCATCTCTTTATTTTGAGCCTTTGTGTATCCTTGCATGTGGGATGGGTTTCCTGGATACAGCACACTGATGGGTTTTGTCTTTTTATCCAATTTGCCAGTCTGTGTCTCTTCATTGGGGCATTCAGTCCATTTACATTTAGTGTTAATATTGTTATGTGTGAATTTGATACTGCCATTTTGGTGCTAGCTGGGTGTTTTGCCTTTTAGTTGAGCTGGTACTTGTTGTTCCTTTATATGTGTAGAGCCTCTTTCAGGAGCTCTTGTAGAGCTGGCCTGGTGGTGACAAAATCTCTGAGTACTTGCATGTTCCCAAAGGATTTTATTTTTCCTTCACTTATGAAGCTTAGTTTGGCTGGATAGGAGATTCTGGGTTGAAAGTTCTTTTCTTTAAGGATGTTGAATATTGGCCCCCACTCTCTTCTGAATTGTAGGATTTCTGCTGAGAGATCTGCTGTGAGTCTGATGGGCTTCCCTTTATGGGTAACCCGACCTTTCTCTCTGGCTGCCCTTAGCATTTTCTCCTTAATTTCAACCCTGGTGAATCTGACGATTACGTGCCTTGGGGTTGCTCTTCTTGACGAATATCTTTGTGGTGTTCTCTGTATTTCCTGGACTTGAATGTTTGCCTGCCTTGCTAGGTTGGGGAAGTTTTCCTGGATAATATCCTGAAGAGTATTTTCCAGCTTGGATTCATTCTCTTCGTCACATTCAGGTACACCTATCAAACGTAGATTAGGTCTTTTCACATAGTCCCACATTTCTTGGAGACTTTGTTCATTCCTTTTTACCCTTTTCTCTCCAGTCTTGCCTTCCCGTTTTATTTCATTGAGTTGATCTTCGACCTCTGATATCCTTTCTTCTGCTTGGTCAATTCGGCTGTTGATACTTGTGCATGCTTCACGAAGTTCTCATGTTGCATTTTTAAGCTCCATCAATTCAGTTATATTCCTTTCTATTTTGTCCATTCTCGTTAGCATTTTGTAAAATCGTTTTTCAAGTTCTTAGTTTCTTTGCATTGGGTTAGAACATGTTCTTTAAGTTCACAGAAGTTTCTTACTACCCACCTTCTGAAGTCTGATTCTGTCATTTCATCACACTCATTCTCCCTCCAACCTTGTTCCCTTGCTGGTGAGGAGTTGTGATCCCTTGTAGGAGGAGAGGTGTTCTGGTTTCGGGTGTTTTCATCCTTTTTGCACTGGTTTCTTCCCATCTTTAAGGATTTATCCACCTGTCGACTTTGTAGTTGCTGGCTTTCAGATTGGGTCTCAAATCTTTCAGACTGATGTTCTGTTTGTTGATGATGAGGTTATTTCTGTTTCTTGGTTTTCCTTCTGACAGTCTGGCCCCTCTGCTGTAGGTCTGCTGAGGTTCACTCCAGGCCCTGCTTGCCTGGGGTTCACGTGCAGCAGCTGGTGAACAGTAAGGGTTGTTACCAGTTTTCTTCTTCTGCTATCTTTGTCCCAGAAGGATACCCACCTAGTGTCAATCTGATCTCTCTTTTATGAGGTGTCTCTTTGGATATATAGGGGTCAGGGAGCTGCTTGAGGAGACGGTCTCTTCTTTATAGGAGCTCAAATGGTGAGCTGTGAGCTCTGTTGTTGTTCATTCAGAGCTGCTGGGCAGGTACGTTTAGGTCTGCTACAGCAGAACTCATAAACTGCTTTTTGTTCCCAGGTGCTCTGTCCCAGGGATTTAGGGCTTTATTTATGAGTTTCCGTTATGCTGCCGCCTCCTTTTTTGTTTTTTTTCCTTCAGACCTGCCCTGCACAGCAACGAGGCAGCCTAGTCACTGTTGGCCTATAGAGGCTTTGCTGAGCTGCTGAGTGACCTTCCCTGCAGTCCTGTTTATATGGGTGTAGTTAGAACTGCTTTGGCGATGGTGGCCCACCTCTGTTGAGGTGGAGGCTCTCTGCTGTGGCGGGTTGCCTTGGCAACGGCGGGCTGCCTCAGCAATGGCGGGTTGCCTTGGCAACGTCGGGCTGCCTTGGCAACGTCGGGCTGCCTCAGCATTGGCCGACTACCTCTTTCCTGGCAGGCTGCCTCGGTAATGGCGGACGCCCCTCCCCTACAGAGCTGGACCGTCCCAGGTTCAACTGTGCTTGCTGTGAAAGTCTCAATCCAGAGTTTCTGGTTGCTGGACTTTTGTGGGGGTGGGACCAGCCGAGCCTGATCGCCTGGCTCCCTGCCTCAGCTCCTTTTTTAAGTTGGTGTTCCAGTCGCCTGTTGAAGAGGCCCCGGGGTCTGTTTGTTTTCCCCTGCAGCCACTCACTGCTCTGGCTTAAACAGCAGCACTGAGGTTTGTGGCGCTTTTTCTTTTTTTTGCCCTGGAATCTACTGTCCTAGTTCTCTGCTCAGTCCCCTTTTTAAACAGACAAATGGGCGACTTCCTGTGGGTCCAATCGCCAGCCAAAAGGGCACCCGGACCGGTGTATTTTGTACAGAGAACCGCGGCTCTGGGGCACCGACAAAGCAGCCGCGCGGGGCAAAGCAGCAGCGCCGGCCGGCACAGCCGCGCTGGCCGAAACAGCCGTGCTGGCGACCGTGGAGCTCCTCTGCCTGGGAATTTCCTAGTCTGTGAGCAATAAAAATATGGCGTCCACTCACCCTCTGCGCTTTCACTGGGAGCTGCAATCCTGAGCTGTTCCTAAACGGCCATCTTGGATCCTCCCCCGCAAGTTGTTTTGAAAGCAAGTTTACAGGCACTGGCAGTGTCTTAGAAGAGCTGGCGAGTTTTGATTGGTGAGTGTCAGTAGCTGCTGGTAGAACTTGTGATTTTGGAGTGGTAGTTAGGCCCTCGCAGTTTTGGATTGGGCTTGTGAGACAGTGTGTCCAGCAGTTATTATTGTATATGCAGCTAGCTCACCTTCCGCCACTAGCTGTCCTTGTGATAGCATCTATTAAGGCAAATTGTGCATGAGAACCCTCTCTTTGTGACCTTTTTCGCTCCATTTTGTTAGGTTTGACACAAGTGACTCCATTTTGAACATGGAGAACTTTCACATCACCCACCAGGTTGCCAGTAAAACTTGCGGAAGGGTGTCTGCCTCTGGGTCAGCCTCGTACCATAGGCAGGGAAGGCACCCATGGAGGACGATGCTGACTGCTGGCAGCCACACCATGGGAGCCATGAGAAAAAGCACTGGAACCAGGAAGAAAGCTTCTTCCTCTTACCGTAACCCTTTAGCACCCTTCATGGTATTACGCGGTTATCAAAGGAGAAATATTTTAGGGTTTTGCCAGATTTCCCAAAGGCAGGTGAAAAGGGCAGATTTGGAGCTTGAAAGGCAATAAATTGACAACTAGTCAAAAGCACAACTTATGTTATCTGCTTATAGATCAAAATTGTCATTTTCTTTCTTTCTTTCTTTTTTTTTTTTTTTTTGAGATAGGTTCTCACTCTATTGCCCAGGCTGGAGTGTGATAGTGTGATCTTGGCTCACTGCAACCTCCGCCTCCCAGGCTCAAGTGATTCTTCTGCCTCAGCCTTCTGAGAAGCTGGGACTGCAGGTGTGTGCCACCACGCCTGGCTTATTTTTGTATTTTTAGTAGAGATGGGGTTTCGCCATATTGGCCAGACTGGTCTCGAACTCCTGACCTCAAGTGCTCCATTCAGCTCAGCCTCCCAAGTGCTGGAATTACAGATGTGAGTCACCACACCTTGCTCAAAATCGTCATTTTCAACAAATGTTTCCTCTCACCTAGATGAAACTCCTACCAGGGGATTATTCTCTACTGCAAAGGAGATAGCAACATTTTTCTCTGAAAGTTAATGCTAAAAAACACAAATGTTATTTATGTCAATCAGAGGGCGCATTAACCTGAAGACACATTCACCTTAGGAAGTGGACCATTTTGTTCTGTCACTAAGGACAGAAATGTATTAGTGATAGAGAGGAGAGATAAAGTTGTATAAGCCCTAGACATTAACCAGGTTCAGATAACTTCTCAGAAGATATGACGGATAAAAGGTTTTGCATACTTTTTAAAGCTTTCTGATTAGTATTGCTGGATATCATTTTCCTGTATTTTCTTGTTCTAAAGAAAGTAATTCTGAGACAAACCTTAGAATTTTAAAAGCAGTAAAGTATATTGTTGAATATGTTGGATAATACAAACTTTTTAGAGTCTTTCTATAAAATTTGGTTCAGTGACTCAATTTTAGCACTAACAAAGTTTTTTTTTTTTTTTTTCCCTCATATTTTTCACACAGGAGAAATCAGCCAGCAAAGAAAAGTTCAAGGCACCAGCAAGAGCTTTACCACAGCTGTCTATGGTAACTTAGCCAAATATATTCTCATTGAATTTTTGTGCCTATTGAAAATGTTTATTTTCTAGCTTGAAAATAAGTAAGCAAATTTCTGCTCCATTTGATTCTCTTCTGACGGAAAAATTCTATGAGGTGTGCATATTAGGACAAGTAACTATCTTAGTAAAGAAGCTATAAGCTATAATTATCTCTATAGTAGAATATTTCAGTATTCTGAATGAACAACTTGCCAGGATGGATTAGCAGAAGGAATGTCAGTGTTGGAATAAAGAAACAAGGGCTTGGGGTCAAGGTTTGCCGCTAACGGCTCTGTGCCCTTTGGGGAGTCACTTACCTCCTGAGCCTCAGTTTCTAAGTGTAAAAAGGGGTTAGTTGATGATCTTCAAGGAGATGGCTCTTCCAGCACAATAATGCCGTGCTACAAAAGATTTCTTAGATCTTGGAGTCTTTTTTCATTTTTTTGACTATAAATTTTCATTGTCTTGTGGAAGAGGCAGTTAATAGACATTTTCAGTTGACAAAGTGCTGTACACGTTAGATTTTAATGTAATAAAATTTATTATCTAGTAATTATGTGGAGTCTAATGCCACCAAGTTACACTCTTGTGAGTCCTAAAAGTTAAGTTGAAGGGGAAGATCAATGCAAAATATTATTATTATAGACAGAGGTGTTGCTTTGTTGCCCAGGCTGGAGTGCAGTGGTACGATCTTGGCTCACTGCAACCTCCACCTCCCAGGTTCAAGCGATTCTCCTACCTCAGACTCCTGAGTAGCTGGGATTATAGGCCCTAGCCACCATGCCTGGCTAATTTCTGTATTTTTAGCAGAGACAGAGTTTCACCATGTTGGTCAGGCTGGTCTCAAACTCCTGACCTTGTGATTCGCCTGCCTCGGCCTCCCAAAGTGCTGAGATTATAGGCGTGAGCCACCGCACCCGGCCTATTATTTTTTAAAAACTGATAAAATGTACATAACATAAAATGTACTATTTTAACCATTTTTAGGTATTCAGTGACATTTAGTACATTCACACTGTTGTATAATCATTACTACTACCCATCTCCAGAACTCTTTTTATCTAACGAAACAGAAACTCTGTCCATTAAACAATAACTCCCCACTTTCCCCTCCCTCAGCCCCTGGTAAACCACCATCGTACTTCTTGCCTCTATGTATTTGACTACTCTAGGTATTTCATATAAGGGGAATCATACAATATGTGTCCATTTATGTCTGGCTTATTTCACTTAGCATAATGTCTTCAATGTTCATCCAAAGCATTATTTGCTTTGAAAGATATTTTAAAAGCTGAGAACAAACTATAAAATTGAATTTGTGTTGCTTTATACAGAGAAGATTCATAATTTGAAATGAAGGACAGTTCCACTCAGAAAGCATGAATTGTTATGTTAATTATATTGAACATTTAAAAATACACATTTTAATAGAAACTATACTTTTATTAATAATGCCAAATTATTGTAAAATGTCTGCAGAATTGAGCCATAGCTTGTTTTCTCTAGTTCTGCAAAATCCCTCTTAAATTTTCTAGTTTAAAAGATAAAAAGCTGAAATGGAATAGACATTTCTTAGTTTGTTGTGGATTGTTAGTTTACAGATGTAGAAATATAAACTTAAATTTACTTATTGAATATCCATGGCTGAGATGAATAATAATTCTTGCTTGTCAGTGAAGCATGTAATTGTCTAAAATGCTTTTATTGACTGATTTAAACCTGGTTTTGTATTCATATTTGGCTGTGCCTTGTAATCTTTTCTCAGCGTTCTTTGAGTCATATGTGTTCTAAGGGAAATTATATTTTCAACGGATATTTAGAAAATAAGCTATTGATTTTTTAAAAACTTTTTATTTGAATACAGCATTAAGGTTTGTATTTGGATAGAAATTCTCCAGCAGTAATTACGACCTAGAGTGATTTTCATTACAGACTTCAGGCTTCCCAAGGTGACCCCTGTAGTTGAAATCAAGGATAACTTGGCACTGGTGGCACCCAGCCTCTGTGAGCTGGTGAGAATCAGGTTCTCACCCTTTCTGTGCAGCTCCTCATTGCACTTCTGTGAGTCTTAAAACTTTTATGGAGCAAGACGAGGGTTGAGAAATGGGAAGAGCAGATGGAAAAATGGAAGAGCACTGACTTACATGTTTTCTTACCCTATTTTCCTGTGCAAGAGGTGTAAGGTTAGCCAAGAGAAAGGAGAATAGACCCAAAGTCAGACAAGCAAGCTTTATTAACCTGCCGAGCTGCCCCATAACAATCAGAGGAGGCAGCCCTGAGCTTACAAAATGAGGGGTTTCTATGGGGTGAGAGGGGCATAAGGGAGTTTCAGGACTGAGATAATCTGTAACAGGCACAGAGATAGTTTGTTAACTTATGACAGACTGTACATTATCTTGTGACTTTTGTGGTGGCAGTTTTAAAAAACAGGATTTTACAGGTATGTGTAAAACAGGAATTTACAAGCATGGAAAACAAACATTTGTTTTCCCTGCCCTCCCCCGAGCTGCCCAGATGGCTGTAATCAGGCTTTGCTTAATTGTAGCACCTAGATAGGCGTTCAGGAATGCAGCTGCAGAGCAATCAGAGTTGGGGGCGGGGGCGGGGGCGGGGGCGGGGTGGTCAGCTTGTGTGGAGGGGGTTTTCTGAGACAGCTTGTCCCTAACATTCCAGCCCTTTAACAGTTAATAGAAGAGGGCACCGTTGTCATCTGGCTGCTTCTTGCTGGATAGGGGTGACATTTGCGGGGTTCTAGATCGTAGGGATTGTCATTCTTGTAGCTGTCAGTATTCTTGGAGCAGCATCACATCTTGTATTGTTCCATGGGTGAAAGCTTTAATACGGTCCTGTAAGAACTGGAAGAGGAGTCGAAGAGGCAGGGGCAAATGCTAGAAGGAGGGAAAGGTCATCATTGCAGGACCTAGGAGGGGCAGTAGCCAGGTTGCCCAGGAGTTACGGAACTACTGAGGCCAGGAGAACTGACTCTTAAAGTTTTATGCTTGGTCTTTGAGTTTTTCTTGATGGCATTTTGTACTAATCCAGAGTCATTGAGGTAGAAACAGCATTGTTCATTTAAAAAGAGGCACAGACCTCCTTTTTCAGCAGTGAGGAGATTTAGGCCTTTGCAGTTTTGTAGGGTGACTGCTGCTAAAGAGTCTAGTTGGTTTTGGAGGTGAGTGATAGTGTGGAAAGAAAATAAGATCAAATAAGTAATAATAAAGTTTAAAATAATAAGCATAACATAGGTAATAGCTAACTTTGAGTAAAGGTAATTTAGAAGTTATACATAGGCTAAGGAATTTAAACAGCTACTCTCAGCATAGCTAACAAGTTGCAGCTGCGAGCTGATCTCAACCCTCCAAGCTTATCACCTGCCTCCAGAGCCCCGCATACCTCTGTAATTCCTGTCTAGCAGCAAGGTTGACTGGTCAAAATAACTAAATTGTAAGTCCTCTCAGAATTGTCGGGAGTTAAATATGCATTGTCTTTGTCTGAAACCTGCATCCTGCCTTGTTTTCCTGCCTCAAACTGCATATAAGCAAAACTGCCTTCTTTGTAGGGGTGGGCAGCCATTTAAAGCGTGAGCCTGCTGCTGGCCCAGGCACCTGAAAAAGTTCTCTTTGCTCTCCATTGGTCTCTTTGTCTTCTTTGGCTGGAGTTTTACTGCAACAATAGAGTCTGCTATTTTTTCTAGTGACGATTGGAAGTCTTGGGAAAATGACTGGAAATATGATAATGAGGTTCCTAGGCTTCCTGGTTTTAACCCAACGCTAGTTGTGACTTCAAGGGCTCATAAGGGAATGAACTGTATTGCTTTTTTTGAGCAAGCGTGTAATGTAGCAGGGACAGGGAGTTCTTGGTTTGGAGAGACAGGTTAATGTGGGGGGTCAGGTAGACTAGGGTGCGGGTACCTGTCCAGTTGGTAGGGAGACAGAAGTAGGTTGTGGATTCGCAGAGGAAGATGCCTGCAGTGTTAATGCAAACAGACAAGTGGATTGAGAATAGACGTTGGAATGACTCGGTTCACTTCAGTAACCCAGAGTGAGGAGGAGGGAGAGACCCCTTTGAGAGCTCCTGTTTGGGGAAGGGGTTTCCATGTTTGAGAGGCAGGAAGGGAGGTAATGCAGAGGGGGTGGGTAAAGAGGCCCTTAGCTTCAGGTGAAACTGAATAATCTCGGAGTGAAGTATGGGAAGAGGGATGAGAGATGGTTTGAGGTGAGCCACAGGCAGAGGGAGGGATGGTGCCTACATGTATGTGTCCGTTGGAAAAGGTGACACATAAGAGTGGGACCTTGGATAGCAGGATGAGGGAGTTTTGTGAGGTTGTAATTGGCAGTGTATGTGGAGAGAGGTTTGGTAGCTCCATTAGCGAGGGCAGTGAGGTAGTTCCCAGTGAGGGTGAGGGCTCTGTCTACAAAGGCAAAGCCTTTTTGGGTGGTGTAAGAAAAGCGAATGGGAATATGGTCCCCGGGCTGAGAAATTGGGTTAGCTGAGTAGGCAGTAAAGGGAAAAGCAGGTCCAGCAATGGGAAGCAAGTATAGAGTTGGAGCATAGTAACACGGAGTGAGTGAGATTGAGAGATTGTTAGAGCCGTGTAGAAGTGAGAAGGGACTTTGAGGGAGCAGAGGCAATGGGGCTGACCATTAAAAGAGTTAGGAACTTGAGGAAGAATTGGAGCCTGCATTTGGGGAAGGAGTTGAGCAGGGTTGTTTGTGGAGGTGGCCTCTTATAGCAGTGAAGCCTTTTCAGTAGGGGAATATTGGGGTTGGATTGTGGGGGTAATGAGGAGAGAGGTGGGGCAGAAGAAAGGGAAGCTTATTTTGCTGCCTCGTCGGCCTTTGTTTCCTCTTGAGATTTCATTTATACACTATTGGTGTCCTCAACAGTGTATAATCCCTGCTTTAGCCAGGAGGTGTGAAGCTCGGAGGAGTTGGTAAATAAGGGGCCATTAGTGGTGGGGGTTCCTTTGGCAGTAAGAAATCCTCTCCC